GACGCTGCCCAACGCAGCCTCCGGCACGAACCAATCGCCGATCGCACTCTTCACCCCGTTGGTACATAACTAAGCGGGCCCGCCCTCGCGCCACCAAGTGATCGGGGAGCACAGAAACCACGTGAGGAACATTTGCCCCGCACAATCCCTCCACAGAAACTGGCGCCCCAGGTGAAGGTCACCCGCAAAAGCCTCCGCCACAGGAACACCGTCACTCCTCGCACCAAAGCCGCTGTTCAAGCCTATGCCGACCGCGAGCAGCGAACGCATATGCGAGCTCTCGACCACCGAGTCGCTTCACGGGCGCGCAGCCTTGACCGCAGCCTGCTGCGCCGCGACGCCCTCCCCGATGGCGCTTCCAGGTGGAGGACATTCCACGGTCAGCACGACGTCGAACTTGCCACTCTTCACCCTGAGACCCCCAGCACGCTCCTGGATGGACTTGGGCGGTACGAATACGCCGGCCACGTCCTTCAAGCGCAGCTGGCGCCCGATGGTGACGGCCCCGCTCCCTGCCGAAGTGCACCGCCGAGTGGCCGCCCCCCAGCGTCTCCGCCTGGCACCGTCGGCCTGCCCAGCTTCGAATCCTCGCTCCAGGTAGTAGAACTGCATCTGGTCCAAGCTCGTGCGACACGCCCCGGCGCGATAATGGTGAGGATGACGAGGAGGATGAGGACGATGATGAGGATGACGAGGAGGATGAGGACGAGGATGCAGACGACGACGGGGAGGAGGCCAATGATGAACATGATGGTGGTGCTGATGTTGATGATGCGGATGGCGATGATGATAATGATGCTGATGATGATGAGGGTGGTGACGACGATGGTGATGGTGATATTGATACGGTTTGCGATGATGATGCTGATTCTAATGATGATAGATGGTGGCGATGATGAGGGGGAGGAGAAGGATGAGGATGCTACTGGTGGTGATGTAATGATGGTGGTGATGATGGTGTTGCTAACGAAGATGGCGATGGCGATGGCGAGGGCGATGGCGATGGCGAAAGTGATGGTGATGCTGATGTTGATGATGATGACGACGACGATGCTGGTGGTGATGATGTTGAGGATGGCGATGATGGTGATGATGATGATAATGATGATGGTGGCAATGATGATGATGGTGGTGGCGATGACGACGGCCACGATGATGCTGCTGATGGTGATGATGACTGTGAGTATGATTACGATGGTGATGATGTCAACGTCGCGTTTCGATGCGTGGCGGATGGGGTGGGACCGGGGGTCTGGCTCTGGACCTCTGCTTAATGCGACTGTTTGCAACGGTGCCTCGTGTGAGGGAGACTCCACCTGCTCGAAAAAGGCGCCGAAAACAGCTCGCATCTACTCCAGGGGGGGGAGGGGTGGGGTCGGGGCGAGGGCCCGCGCCGATCGGCAAAACAATGAATAAGAAAACGGTCACTCATGATGATGATGATGATGAAGATGGTGGTGGTGGTGGTGATTGTGCATATGTCATGGTGACGGTGTTGGTGATGATGATAATGATGATGATGATGCTGATGATGATGATGATGATGATTATGCTCATGCTGATGACGACGAAGATGACAATGGTGATGATGATGCAAGTGACGCTGCTGATCATAAAGAGAGCCAGCATCATGATGATGGGAGTGATGGTGATGATGAGATTGGTCATGCTGGTGATGATGGCGATGATGAGATTAGTGCTGATTTGATAATCATGTTGTTGATGATGATGCTAACGGTGACAATGCTGGCGATGATGGTTGTGAAGATGATGATGATGATGCAGATTGATGATATTGATGGTGGTTGATGATGATATGAGGCGGCTCATGATGATGATGATGATGTTGATGGTGGTGGTGCTGATAATGCTTATGCTGTGCTGACGATGAGGATGATGCTGATGATGACGTTGCTGACGGCGAGGATGATAATGATGATGTTGCTAATGATGATGGTGATGATTACGATGATATGGATGCTGCTGCTGATGGTGCTCATGCTGATGATTATGCTGGTGCTGCTGACGATAATTGTGATGATGAGGAGGCTGCTGATTGTGGTGATGTTTGTGGTGATGATGATGACGATGACGATGATGATGATGATGATGGCGCTGATGATGTTGATGATGTTGGTGATGCTGGTGATGTTGGTGATGCTGGTGATGGTGGTGGTGACGGCGATCATGCCGATGCTGATGTTGTTGGTGATTATGGTGATGGGGTTGGTGATGATGGTGATGATGCTGATGCTGCAGCTGATGATATGAGGGTGATGATGATGCTGATTATGATGGTGATGGTCATGATGTTGATGGTGATGCTGATCATGCTGATGAACATTATACTGATGATGATGCTGATGCTGATGCTGATGGTGATGATGACAACGATTGTGATCATGATGCTGATGCTCATGGATGTGCTTGCTCGGGAAAGCTGTCAGCGTTGTGTGAGCACGCCGTCTTTGAGAGCTGCATCGTGCCATTGCCACGATGGCTCAAGTTTTTCTGGCTATGCAAGTGGCCCGCGCCGCGGCGCTCGAGGTTGCGCGCGGGCTCAGCACGGGGCTCGCGCTCTGGGGCGGCACCAAACCTTGCCCCGAGTGCGCCCCGAGCTTCGTGTGCCCGCCGCCTCCCGCCGCGACCTGTGTCTGCGGCGCCCCCTCGCCCGCGGCGATAGCGGCGGCGGGGCTGGCGGTGGCGCTGGCGAGCTGTTACGTCGCAGGAGCAGTGCGGGGCTTGCCCACACGTGAGGTCATCGCGCGGCGGGCGGCGGCGGCATCGCCGAAGGAGCTCACGTTTGAGGAGCAGGCCAGGGCGCAGTTGACGTTCGTGAGGTCTCGCAATACGGGTCGGGCTCGGTGATGGCGGCGCTGACGGCGGGAGCCTTTTCTGCTGGTGCGTTACTGTGGAGTCCCTGGTCCTGCGGTGTTTCATGCGAGATTGCTGTTGGCGGTCCGACCTGGTACGAGTGCGTGCTACGCGTTGACGCCCGACCACGCTCACTACAAAGAGGAGTTCTCGACCAGACTTCGGCATCGTCTGCCGCCTGCTGGTGTGTCAGAGTCGGGTGGGGTGGGCCGATGCTGTCGTCACTTGTTTGGGGTGGGTCTGATGGAGTCGGCGGGTCGCTGGAGGCGTCGTGGTCGCTGGAGTCGTCGGAGGCGTTGCCGTCGAGATCATCGTTGTCAGATTTGCCTGTCGCTGGGGCAGCATGCGTTGGTGAAGCTGCTGACGTGCGTCGCTGTGGTGGCCCGATAATCGCCCTGATCATCCGTCGCTGCGTGCGACGCAGCTGCTGTTTGAAGGGTCATATTATTGTCCATGACTCTGCGCCGCACATCATTGTGGGTATGGTGGTGCCACGGTATAGTCGTAGTCTGTGCTTGAGAGGGTAGCGCTTGCTCGTTGGTTATTGTCTGTGCCCTGTGAAGCACGCCTATGCAGCTTGGATGCGATGCTGGATCTCGGTCGTCGATGCGTCTTGAAATCATTTGGTCTGGCCGAGATACTTCAACTTCCTGGTGGGTGGTAATATTTCAATGTCCGTGGTTGCAACTCTTCCCGATCGCGTTCGGGTCCCGGTCCGGTTCGTCGTGATCTTTATTTTGGCAGGGTGTATTTCAAGGCCGAGGGGAGCTGCTGCCTTGATTTAGTTCCCAAGCAGTGTCTTCAAATGGGGTAGTGTCTGACTGACCAGGAGGATGTCGTCGGCGAAGCGGAGGTTGGTAAGAACAGACTCCTCGGTGCGCGCTAGTTGTACTCCTCGTCGTCGTCGCTGCCAATCCGGAATGAGAGGTTCCAGGGTGTGCTGTAGTAGAGCGTCAAAGAGCAGTGAGCTCAAAGGGTCTCCTTGATTCGCGCCTCGTCTGAGCTTGAAAGGTTTGCTGGTGGAGCCAGTGCGGACAAAAGCCTTCTGATCGTGGCAAAGACTCTGGAGCAGGTGGACGTACTCGGGTTGCACGCCTTGTCGTCGTAGTGCTGTCCATAAGCTGCTGTGTTCTATTGTGTCGAACGCTTTCTTAAAGTCTACGGCAGCAATCCACAGGGTCTGATTCCATTCGTAAGCTCGTTCGCGCAGGATGTTGAAAGTGACGAGGTGGTCTTGCGCGCTGTGTCCAAGTCTAAACCCCGCTTGGTCGTCAAACTGGCATTGTTAAAGGACTGGCTGTAATCTGTTGTAGACCAGACGACTGAATAGCTTGTATTGAGTGGGTATCATACAGATCGGGCGGTAATTCTGTGGAAGGGAAAGGTCGCCCGATTTGGGAATGACTGTGATCACTGTTTTCCTCCAGCTTGCTGGCGTCGGGGCGTTCGGTTTGAGGACGGTGTTGTTTGGCTGCAGCAAAAGCATGTTGAAGTTCCGGGCATGGCTTCTTGAGCATGTCGGCTGCGATCCCTTCGGTGTCCAGTGACTTCCCCAGCTTGAGTTGCGAGATTGCTGCGTCGAGTTGTTGCGCCGTGAAGGGTGGGTGTCGGTCGTGCTTGGTGCTGCGTCGACGGTGCTGGCAGAATTGTACAGCTCCTCGTAGAACGTCGCGAATACATCAGCAATGCCATGACGAGTCGTGTGCTTGGTGCCGTCGTTACCAGCCATTTCCGTAATGAGCGTTCGTTTTCTTCTCGTCTTGATGGAGTTGATGCGCTCGAGAAGGAGGAGGAGGAGGCGGAGGAGGAGGAGGTGGAGGAGGGGGTAAAGAAGAAGGATGAGGTGGCAGGAGGAGAAGGAGGAAGCAGGCGGAGGACGATAAGGATAAGGGGGAGGGGAAGAGGAGGACGAGAGCAGGAGGGAAAGAGGAGAGGACCGTTGAGGAGGGGAGCAGGGAGAAGAGAGAAGAGGAGAAGAGGAGGTAGGAGGGAAGAGGAGGAGCAGTAGAAGGAGGAGCTGGAGGAATAGGAGGAGGAGGAGGAGAGGAACGGAGGACGAGGAGGACGGAAGGACGAGGAGTGAAGAGGAAGACGAGTAAGAACACAAAAAAGCAAAGCGCGCTGTCCTGTCCCATGCCTGGTCGCCGCCGGGCAGCGCGTGAGCGCCCTCCCAACCCTCCTGGCCGCTCGCCATGGCGACTTGGCCTGGGCCAGCCGTAAACTCAGGAGCAGCTCAAGGGGGGGGGAGCGAGGGACAGCCTGATACAGGTAGAGATCGAGGGACGCCCCCCTGCCTCCTCCTCCTCCTCATCCACCTCCTCCTCCTCCTCCTCCTGCTCCTCCTCCTCCTGCTCCTCCTGCTCCTCCTCCTCCTCCTCCTCCTCCTCTCCTCCTCCTCCTCCTCCTCCTCTTCCTCCTCCTCTTCCTCCTCTCCTCCTCCTCCTCCTCCTCCTCCTGCTCCTCCTCCTCCTCCTCCCTCCTCCTCCTCCTCCTCCTCCCCGCATCCTGCCTGCCTCCTCCCTCCATCATCCAGCCTCCCTCCTCTACCTCCTCCTCCTCTCTCCCTCCCTGCCTCCCTCCCTCCCTCTCTCCATCCATCCATCAATCCATCCATCCATCCTCCTTGTCATTCATCATCTCCTCCCTCCCTACTCCATACTCTCACATCCTTCTCAATCTCCCCCACCCCATATTCCTTTTACCGTCCCACCTCCTCCCTCCACCCTACTGCCTCCCGGGTTGCTATGAAGCCTCGTTCCACGCAAGGCGGCACGCTTTCGGCACAAAGGCAGCGGCCGCCTCAGCGGGTCGCTGACGAAAGCACGAGCTTTCGGCACAAAGCCAGCCAGACCTGGCGTCACTGAAGAGGCACAGTAGGTATCCCGTGCCCTGTACGGCTGGATAGGCCGCGCGGCCCTGCGTGTCCGACCACCTCCCGACTCCACTCCTCGTTCCGACTACCCCCTCCCGCCTCCGGCTGCACGCAAGAGTGGCCCTGGGCAAGAGTGGCACTTGCTGTGCGGATCTGGGGGGCCAGTGGGGGAACAAACCCTAAGCGCGCGAGCCAGTGCTGGAGCGACCCCTGTTGCGAGGCCAGTGCGTATACAACACCACCGCCTACAAAACAAACCATGGCACAAATTATGTGAGTCAGGGCTGTGCCAGACTACGCCACGCCTCCGCGGCAACGGTTGCCCACAAAAGCCAGGTTGCGCCAACACGGATCCCGCGTTTTTGCTCCGATCTCGTCATGAAGGGCCCTGCCTCACAATGCCCTCGGACCTGGCTAATGGCACGCTAATGACCGCCTGCTTTGGCACTGATGGCATCTGCAGCAGTCGCGACACCGCGAAAGACATATATTTTTGAGGAGCAGGAGATTTGAGCGGACCGCGAAGTGAGCTGGCAATTATCATGACCGTCGCCAGGCAGTCCCACGAACGTGGCCGAAACGCCAGTCGGGGAGGACGGCTTCGGGCTTCGCCACGATTACGTTGCTGCTTACTGTAGGCGCCGGCTGGAGCGGACAAATCCTGCCTCCCCCAGGCAGACAACGCGAAAGAAAGATGAGACGCGAGCCATTCGAAGACCATGAGTGCGTCAGCAGTGTGTCAAAAGTCACTCGCGGGTCATGAGTGGGCCAATCGTGGGTCACTGGTGGGTCAAATGCATTGGTGGGCCATTAGTGGGCCAAATTCATCAATGGACCATTAGCGGGGCCACTAGCTGGGCAATTAGTAAGCCATGAGCGGGCCAGTAGCGGACCATTCGTGGGGCAGCTGCGGGCCGCTTCAGTGGGACGAGAGAAACGGCGGGGCACTCCATGACCACCGGCTGCAAGGGACGGCCATCCCCGAGATCTTGGTGGTGTTGGTCCTTGGCGGCGATGGGCCCGCACCCATGCTGGCCTCCCTCGAAGGGTCACTCGTACGCGTGGCCGACTCCTGCCTGGAGCCGCCGGGGGCTCCCTGGGCTCCCACGTACACGCCCAGAGATTCGGTCGGCCCCGGCGGCCGTCCCAGCCCTCGCCGCTGCCGCCGCCGGCCGCCTCGAGGTGGCCCTCCCAGCCTTCGCCACCGGGCGCATATCCGCGGGCTCCCCCGCACGGGGAGCCTCCTCCTCCTCCTCCCTCCATCACCTCCTCCACCACCTCCTCCTCCTCCTCCTCCTCCTCCACCTCCTCCTCCTCCTCCTCCTCCTCCTCCTCCTCCTCCACCTCCTCCTCCTCCTCCTCATTCACCACCTCCTCCTCCGCCCCGTCTGATCACAGATAGCTCCTACATGTCGCACCCCCAGACGTGTCGGTAGGGCGGGCCGGGCGTTTCGCCCGAGACCTCCCCACCACTCATGACCCTGAAGCTTCAAAGTTGCAACGGCTTCACGGATGGAGGTCGGGCCGTTTGCAAAATCTGGCTTTCGCATTAGCGCCGCGCGCGCTGGTTATTACAAGTTGTACCTGCCTCGCGGATGGAGGGCGGGTGGTTTTCAAAATGTGGTTCCCGCTCCAGCGCAGCCCATATTCGTTTTAAGAGCGCGCAACAGCTTCGCGGATGGAGAGCGGCTCCTTTTCAAAATGTGGTTCTCGCCTTTGCGCCGCGAAAATTGTTGTCAAAAGTTTGCAACCGT